CCGGACAAGACGACCCGCAAGTTTGCGTGCTTTGCAATTGGGAACGCGGGTGTGTGCTCCGGCTGTCGCGTGCATGCCATGGGGACGCGTTTGGGACAGGGCCGGTATCATGGAAACTTCTCCATTATACTCAGATAAATGAAATGGAAACCTATGAATTTATGCAGATGCGAGTTCTTATGCAGATGCGAGATACGTATTTAGGGCGTCAAAACCTCAACCACCCTCCTGAAGACGGCCGCATTGCATCTCGTTTCCCAGGGCTCGGTGTGCTCTCGAAACCGAAGACCCCTGGTTCCTGCCCTTGCCACCCGCACCACATCTTTCGCGACCTTGCTGAACAACAGGTTTCCACAATCACAACCTGTACGGTGCTCTTGAGCCCGCTATCAGCCCCCTGGTGGCGCTCCTGCGGGATGAGGAGGTACGGGGTTGGGAACCTACATACGATAAGGGAATTGCGTCTTTCTAAGCTAGGGTTGCGGATTGGTATTGCGTTGCGGCAAGGTTGCGGCATTCCCGAATCAATGCAGGTCCACGGGTTTGTTAGGTGCAATTTACCACCAGGTCACATGGACATCCGTGAGTCCGGCCACGCGGGGACTGGCTTCCTTCTCCGCCTTAGGACCTGCTCTCCGTCCTTAATCCACCGGTTTCACTGAATCCGGTTGGTTGCTTTTGTCCCACTGCCTCTTTGGCTAATAGCCTCTCTGGCTAATATTCCTTCCATCTCGCTAAGCCAAGTTAAGTGAATCCTACTGTAATTCAAATCTAAGCTAAAACTCATGAGGACTCTCTCTTTTCCATACAGGACAAGACGCGTGCCAACGCCGCGGGCGCACTAGGAAACCTCGTGCGCAACTCCTCGGCGCTGTGTGGAGAGCTCATCCGCGCTGGCGCGTTGCGCGCCCTACTAGACACGGCGCTCAGCCCAGAGCGGCCGCCCACTGGCGTGGTGCCGGGCCGCGGTGGCGCCGGTGGAGGCGCGGACGCGGGCGGCTCACCAGTCAAGATTGCACTGTTCAGCTTAGGCAACATGTGCGCGCACCGGGAGTGCCGTGAGAGCCTCATCGCGTTGGGAGTGCAGGTGGGTGGATGGCCATCATCCCCGATGCTGGCAGGCCAGGGGCTTCGGAGATTGGGTGGGGACGGGGAGGCATCCTTTAGATCAGGTAATTGAGCTGTGGTGAGGGGATGGACCGCCAGGCTGTCGTGAGGAGAAATTGAACCTGCCACCGCGACAAACAAAACAGCTCTTTGTGGCTTGCTGGCTTGCTAGGGAAGGCATCGAAGAAAAACAATTGGCAAGGAAAAGTAGGGAGAGCGGGTTGTGCACGATCTAGAGGATGGGTGTGGAGGCTGTGGGTACGTGGCAAGCCGTTGCGACCACAGACAAATGCGTTGTACGGGAAGGTTATGGAGGTGTTTGGTTACTCACTAATTAGGACGCCCAGGTGTATAGCTCCGTCTATGCGAATAACTTTGATTAATCACTGCAATCCTCTCTCAACCCAGGGACTTATTTACAGGTTCTGGCTTGTGCAGCAATTTTGTTCGTGATTCTCGTTTTCTGTTCCTCCCTTCACATTCAGGACGTCATCCGGAGGCTGTCCAGCAATCCAGACCCCATCCAGCAAAAGTACCTGCAGCGCATTCAGCAGAAGCTTCAGGCGGGGAGCGTGGTTGGAGGTGCTGGGTCAGTGGCGGGCGGCGGCCGGTAGTTGCCTAGTGCATACACTCGTAAGAGTGCAATGAAATACAATGTCGTTTGGCCTTGTGAATTTATGTAGCGGTGTGCACAGAAACGGCCATGGTGTTAACAGTCTGGTGGCGCATGGTGGGCAAGCATACGTGACGCCACAGCGGACATTTTACACCTATACCCTTACATGGCAGTCTGGCAGAGCAACTCCGTGGCTGGGTAGCTGCATGCTGTACTGTTCTGGAGGCAAAAGATATGGTAGGGTGGCACTATGATTTCAATCACATGTGAAAGACGTATTGAAGTGACCTCCTCTTAAGGGGGGCGACAACTCTTTATGGGACGCACGCAACGGGTTGTCAGAGTGGGCCGGGTGGCTGGGTGGGTGGATGGCTAAGCACGTTATGTAGTTAATTAATCGTTTCGAGTATGTGCAACAATCCAGGTAACAAGTACCGCAGTCTGCCTTCATGCGCAACTGCGGGGCGCGGGGACGTGATGGGGCGACTTTAAAGGCAACTTTGCAGTGCAGGCGTCGAGCACAAGAGGGACAGCTTTCTTTGACACCTGTATATGCGGGGTGTGTTTGGAAGGGGGGATGGCAATGGCCAGGGGACACAGGAGTCGAGCAACACGCTTGGGTTCAGCCAGGGTGGTAGAGGCGTCGCTGGATAGTATGGACGATAGCCTGCGAGCACTACTGGGAGGGAGGTGGTGTAGTTTGGAGGGCGGCTGGTATAGAATGCATTCCTGGAGTATGCCCTGCGCGGCGTTTTGCACGCGTCTGTGTGTGTATGTATGTGTGTGTGTGTGTGCGCGCGCAGACAGGTGTTGCACTCTCAGCACCACGGACTTGAGCAGCGGTGACGGTGACGGTGACTGGCTTTTCTCCGTATGCAGAGTTTTCAGGGTTTGCTATTCGCGACACAAGTACACAATGTCATGTGTTCTTTTCCTATGTATAGGTGGCCGAGACGCCTTCACCCGATAGTGCGTGGAAAAGTCTGTAATACCTAGCAGGATTTAATGAGGTCGGGGCAGCCCACTGTATCAGGCAGCAACTACACCAGTTCTTGCATGCAGATGCGATATCCAGCTCCAAGATGCTGTAAATATGAGTCCACGCACACGTGTGCATGTTTGCTGAATTAAAGCAAACTGCAACCATACCTCCATCGATACCATTTTATGCACACCATGGCTTGTATCCGATGTGTGTGCCATGTGGCAGCGAGTGAGCAGCTTCATTAGCCGTCAGGCTTGGTCCCGGAGAGATTGTCGTGCGCGAATTAATATTCGTTATAGCGGTAGTGTAGGTTGAACTGGGAGGTAGGGAAAGCTACTCTCGGAATTCTTATCAGAAATAACGGAAGGGAGCAGCAATAAGGGAGAGGACCTTCTGGTTTCCGACCGTCAGGTTTCCGCAGTCGTACAGGCGATGGAGGGTCCATCCGTTACCCGCTCTTGGCTTATCGGGCCAGTAGTAGTCTATCTCCGGGTAACGCAGCCAACTGCCGCTGGTTGCCATCAGGATGTAACCTGCATCCTGATACAATCAGTGTGTGTATGGCGATACTAAATGTCACCTGACCAGCGGGACGGATACAAATGAACTGAAGAGGACATCCCTGCATGCTGTGTCAGCCACGCAGTAGGCATGCATGTCATACAACGGATGGATGTGATATCGGGACCCATTAATAGGATGGGAATGTTCCGCTTTAATCAAGCCTTGAAAAACGACTGACATGGCGCCTATTATCAATAGACCATCGAGTGAAGCATCGAGCATACACAAAGCCATACGTACGACAGCCACAGCAACAGCCCACAGCCTCAGGGAGCAACTTCAGGCCAGAAGCCACCCGAGAATGCCCAAGAATTAATGCCATTACATTCGCCGGCCGTGAGCCCGACGTGTGTTATAGGGAACGCGACGCTGAGGTTTTCAGTCCCTATACTTCACTGTCCGCCGAGCAGAGGCACATGCAGGTTAAGGTCTCTAGGAAAAACCTCACAGGCTGAATGATACATAACCTGGGCGAGCCTGCCAACCACCAGCTAAGCCAGGAGCTACACCTACCGTCTGCACCTACCAAGCTTGCGCAGGAGGACCTATTCCTATGCTAGATCAACTCAGGGGCCCAGATTACTTCAGGGCCTGGGCGATCCCCACAGGCAAATGCAGGGTCTTGCTCCAGCTTCCAGCTCCAGGCTACGAATATATCAACTCTGCCGTTGATCCATAGGGTGCTACTAGCCAGCCAATCCGAGCGGCATTCAGCTGGACCTTACCCAATTAAACATCTTCCTACAGTCCGTCCATCGACAACACCGATGCCTAACAGCAAGACCCATCGGGGCCGGCATCAAGATTCTATGTCCTATGCCGTCACTTCAGGATGGGCAAGGATGTCCAGGGGTTTCAGAGGGACCTTTCCCCATGGCCTTGTGCCAGGGCCAGGCATTAGCGCCCCTGGCTCTGAAAGTAACAGAACAAGTAAACAATGCTACCACTAGTATTGCTCGCGGCTTAATGAGCTTTGGCCCTCCCATACTGAGCGGATCGCGCCTGGACACATGGCCAGACGGTGAATTCGGGACTAGGACTATGTAGCATTGATTTTGCTGGTGCGGGCATACAGGGGCCGAAACCTCCCTCAGTTCCCCATCGCCTTTACATCCGCGACAGCCGGCATACTAGGCGATGCAGGCAGGGTGTTGATGCTGGACCAGTGCAAAGACCTTTCTCGAGTGCCTTACACACGTGATGATGTTTTAAGACTCCTGGCTGGTTTGCAACTGCTTTTCCTTGGTCAATAATGGGTGCGGCAGCGGCTGAGGTTTCATGGCTTGTTGCAGATTCGTAACTCGCGGTGAGTCTTTGTTGCCACTGGAAATGTATCTGGCAACCTCATCACCTCCGATACCCAGAGGTATGCAGTACCGGTCAATTTTGAACATTCTCGGGTACCCTCGGTCAGCAACTATCTGCATCTTCCAGTGGAAACCACCCCCGCTGTCCGCATTCCCGTGACCGAATCGCATTTCGCATCCAACCCCATTGCATCCCTCTCACTTTCGTGGGGGTTCACACTATTTCCTGAGAGTACGGCTCACGGGAATTCTTCAATGCAGCACAGGGAACGGATGGTGCGACAGCATTTACAGTATAATGCATGGCCGTTGCATAAGCCTTGAAAGACCATGCACGTATGCCACCTCTGCATGCAGGCCAAAAGTTCGTCGCTCGTCCCTTGCCTCATGGCTGACCTCCTAGTAACCCAAGGGGATTCGGCTACCACCCCGCTGCAGCAGCCACGTCACGTGCCCACTCAATCGCAGCATCCACCCAAACCGCTAGCACTGCGACACTGCAGTACACGGATGTCAGCATTAGAGGTGCGAATGGCAAATTCCGTCGCAGAAAAGGTACGGCATCGTGCACGACGCTAACATAGAGCTCCACAAGCAGGAAGCCAACCATGTACGCCTTCACCGGGGGCCCTAGCACCACAACCCTCCTGGGCTTCATCAATACGACCTGCCGCCCTAACGGCTTCCCCTCACGTTTCGCTGGTGCTGCTTCTTGAACCTTGGATGGCGCTACACGCGGCGGCTGGTGTGAGCAACCAGCGCTCGGTTGAACTTCAGCGTGTAACCCGCACAGCGCTGCCGCAGAGACCACAAAGTAGGATAGGACGAGCAGCACCTTGGCGCCGTACTCTTGGGGGCGGAAAAGCAGGGGCAGCAGGCCATAGTGTCCAGCGCTGGCGAGCAGCAAAAACCGCCGGGCGGCAACTGGGGACACAACCGCGTCGACTGCCAGCGGCAGCAGTGCCTATAGGCCGTGGATAGATTGGGGATTTACGGGGGTTACGGACGGCCATACAGAGATATTGATACCGTGGTGCACGTGAGCAGGCAGCAGGGTGCGCGGAGCGCCGGGCTTCACAGGAAAGGCCCGAAGAAAGGAGGTCGGGTTCCCATGCCACCCTTACAGAAACACGCAGGCAAAAGCACATCAAGACCGGATCCACAGCTCCCACTAAAACCCGTCACGGGCATCACAGGCTGATAATGGCAGTGTTCGCTTCCTGACCCTTCCCAGGCCTTCCCCTCCTCCCCTCCCACGCCACGACACCCAACCCTGTACCTCACCACCAGCACGGCTTTCTCGTGTACGTGGTAGCCGAACACAAAGCCGCACAGGAAGCTGTAGGACACCGCACGAAAGATGTTCCGACGCACGTACCCCGGGCGGCCATCCCCAGCCCACAGTGCTGCCAGGCAGGGCAGCAGCCCCACCAACACCGCCAGTGCCGTGGCTGCAGGGGTTACCTGCGGGAGCGAGCGGGTACGCGCTTCGGAAGGCGTGCAAAGGTGGGTTGTCGTGTACACGGCGGGTTTCGACCCACATGAGCGCGACCACGAACACAAGCACCCACTTTCCTAATCCCTGTCACCCCGCAAGCCATACACACCTACGTACCGCACATACGCACCTGCGGGAGCACGGAGAAGTGAGAAACACCCACCCGACCGTCTGCATGTTTGGAAAGGAAGGGGCCCAGGCAAGCAAAGGGGGAAACAAAACCGAAGTCACAACATCGACCAAGTCCAAGGACGGGTGGAAAGGATAGGGACGACCGGAACAACACAGCATGTCACCAGTGGCTTGCGGATACACAGAGCACGCGGCAGATCAGGTCCAGCAAAACAGGAGGAGAAGACAGGAAACGGACCGTTTGCTGGGGCCAGTACCGGCAAGCAGGACAGTGCAACCTGCCAAATAAAATACCTGAGGGCCATACTGCTGCAGCACGTCCACCCTTACATGTGCCATATACCATCCAGATCCCAATCACCCATACTGCGCAAAGCACTGCCTGCCCAAGCCTCCTCATGAATGTGCTTACTGCCCACTTCATGGTCCTGTCCGCTTTTATTTAAGTCCACATCGAAATCCTTCCGGCACAGGCTTGGCTCCCCTGCTCACCTGCCATGTTCGCCGCCCCCCGCTGTATCCGCAGCCCCATCCTCTCCAGGTCCAGCCCAAGCCAGGGGGCGATTCGCGGCAGCCCCACCGCCAGCAGCTTGTCCGCAGCTGCATAGGGCGCCCAGGCGTTGGCGGCCCAGTAGGCGTGCATTAGGCCGCGACCGAAGGGGAACAGCCGCCGCAACACCTGGAGGGAGGTAAACAAGGTTCAGGGAAAGACAAGCGGATGCGGACATGATGACCTGAACGCCACTACGGATGCTCCGCAAAGGGAGGGAGGGTGGGGGAAGGACCGGCTGCAGATCGCGCCGCTTTCAGAGGAGCCCAGCCAGCCGCGCTGGGCGACCCTAGCCTGGCTTGGTCGGTTCAGGCCTGGGCAGCAGAACAATGCGGGACCAGAGAGCCTCCCCGGGGAATCGTAGGAGGCCTCACCTAGAGGCGGTATGATGAGGTGGTGCATCTCACCGACACGGGAAGACCCGCGGCGACCCAACCGTTGACACAAACCCGCCCTCATGCCGTCGCGTCCCTTGCGTCCGTGTCCAAGCCCCGACGCACCCAAGTCCCCTCTCCTGCCACCCCCTTTTCCCCCCCAAGCCCCGCATACGGCAAACCATCGTACCTGTGGCATCTGGCCCATCACGATGAAAGGCCCAAACGACGCCCCGAAAATGGCCAACACGCCGCTTCCAAGCACTGCCAGGCGTAAAGCAATCCGGCCAAACCCAGCAGCGCCTCTTTCTTCGCCGCCTTTACCACCCCCCGTGCCGACCCTGTCAGCAGCGCTGCCACTGACCCCCGGAACCTTACTGCCCCGTGAATCAGCCCCACTTGCGGGACCAATCGCTGTGCCCTCACAGCAATAGTGGCGCAGCAGGACCACGAAGTATGCGGGGGCTGCATACAGGAAAAGATGCTTCATGTTCAGCAGCGCCGCAAACAGCAGCCCGGAAGCCAGCATACGGCCTCTGCAGGCCGCGTACAGCGACCACAGCAGCACACCTGTGATTGCCAAAAGAGGGCGGGAGGGTACTGTCTCTTTGCCGCTGAGTGATGCGCACGTTACCGGTACACGACTGCAGAGTTCCAGAAAGAAGCCAGGAATTAGCCACGCCAGCAGTTGCGATGGAGATAAACGAGAGTGCAGAGGTCAGGGACGAAGCAACAGAACAACTGTCCTAGACAGGCTTCGCCGGTTCGTTTGGGCTCCGGCAAGACCAGCTGGAGGTTGTGGGTTGTGCGGAGAGGTCCCTTGCTGTAAGTGACAGAGGAGAATGTGCAAATCAGGTGACTCAGGGTCACAGATGCACAGGCACAGAAGCAGGCCCAAAGCTGGGAGGGTGGCGTTTGTGCCCTTCTGCACATTAGTCCATTCAGGCCTGCTACATATGCAAACCCACCCAGCACCCAACCTAAGAAACACTTGAATGCCGACAGCACCCGCGCACTACTCCACCCACCCATCATGACGCCGTTGTACTGGAAATGCACGTGGTCCACAAGCATGAGTCCCGCGTTGCATGACACCAAGAAAAACAGCACCGCGCCACGCCGCATGTTGACGTTATCACTGCCGCTGCTGTTACTGTCAGTGTCGCCGGTGCCACGTAAAGCGTATGTAGTAGCTGCGGGTGGCGCTGCGGCAGCCTCGCTTGCAGCCCGGTCCTCCTCCAGGCCCGGCACCTGCCCGGCACTTGCCTTCGTCGCAGGTCCCGTGGCCACTGCGGGCCGCGTTGTGGAAGCAGCCTCAGCCCCCCTCACCACATCTCTGCGGGCAAGCACACACACACACAGACAGACAGACAGACATGTTTGCACACCGACCGACACACGGTTCGCACTGGTGCCGCGTGCAATGGCACATTGTGGCACACATGAAGTAAGACCGCACATGAGAAGTCGGGCTGTGGGCTGTGGGGCTGATACCGCAGAGCGGACCAAGCGGCACAAGCGCTCCCTCTGCCAGGTGCGAGTGGGTGCAGGGGAAGGCTACTCGGTTAAACGCCGGAGGGAAGAGATTTTGCGCGCCTGCGCAAGGCAACGTGAGCTTTGTCGGAAGGTTGGCCCCCGACTAACACACTCCCTACCAGTGGCTCTGCCCCTAGGCGCGCATTAGCCCTTGGCTTGTTGCCGTGCCGGGCCTGCCACTGGTCCTTCAATTCCCTTCGCTCATGCCGCCTTCCGTGACTCCATCTGAGGGGGCCCGCTCGCCTTTCAGGGCTTTCCTTTCCAATTCCAACCTGGACATCCGGGCGCATATGCGCCGGGCCCACATGTGCACCGGGCCCCAGGTGTAGCTGCAGCTTCCCACCCCAGCTGGCGGGTTTCCTTCCCTACCCGCCCCTACCGGGGTTCCCACCTGGCGAGCGCGTACGAGGCCGCGAGCAGCACCAGGTCCGTGACGATGACGGAGGCGCGCTGGACGGCGATAGCACCCAGGGAGATACATGCGGCAAGCAGGGAGGTAAGGGGAGCCCAAATTGCAGGAAGTAGGGAGCCAAACTGATTCGGATGGGCAACAACAGTTGTGGACTGTGCAAAATGGTTTGTCGGACGGACATGGCAAAAGGAATGAAACCGCGTCAGAGGAAATGGAGTCTGAATGCAGGAATGAGGCAGGCAGGGGCCACGGGGTCCTTGTTGGGGCTCCCGGGGTCAGGACAGGAGGCTTGCTGTGCTAAAGGCCTGCATGCTTTTAGTTGCAGGCTACTGACATGCAACATGCTGCAAATTTGCATTTGGCCCCCGTGCCCTGTTGCATTTCCTGTTGTATGTCGCCTAGCGTCTTTTGAATAATTTCTCCTCGGCCTCCACGGCGCGTTGTGCAACCAGGCCGCTGTCGTCGTCGCCTCGCGTGGTGGCCCCCATGCCTTAAGGATTAGGCCTTGCGGTCGTAATTAGTGTGAGACGAAAGTAGCTCGTGCTGCGTATCCGCGGTTCGGTGTGCACAGCGCAGCATGCATAGCGTGGATGAGGTCTCCAAGCGTACCTGGAACAGCACCGTACGCTCACTAGCGTACTCTAAATTCTGTACGACCAGCATCGCTGGGTCTACAAAAAGAGCGAATTGAGACAGAAGCCATTCGAACCAGGCAAAGAACGGTGGGTAATCGAGGGTCCATTCCGACGTCGCCTCCACATACCTGCGACATGGCAACCCTCAGCTTGCAGCTACGAAGCGAGAGAGGTGGTGCCGCAGGCCCGGAATTATCCAGCCTGAATAAGCATAGGGCATCGTATGGCTTACCACTTGGAGATCGGGAGGTTGTGTGTGATGGCAAGCCAATTACGATGCACCTCAAAGTCTGTGGACCGGTAGGTAGGGACCAGCAGCAGCTTACAAGCAGTCGCAATAACCGCGATCTGCAGGCAAACTACTATCATTTTGTTCGTGTCCCTAACCGTCTCGTCCGCACTTTGCATGCATGTTTGTAGCTACTAGCAGTAGCGATGATCAAAACGATAACTGTTGTAACATAACAAGCGGGCCTTTGTAAAGCATGATTGACCTTCAGGTAACATGTTCCTAAAGGCAAGTTGTGAGTATGCACATGCACGACAGTCAACCGTTGATCCGGCCTAGCAGGGGCCTCGCATCGCTGCTTCGGAAGCTCTGGACATGCCCCAAACAAGCGAGTAAACGTTGCAATCTTTCAAGTTAATCTGCCATTCCTATATCGCTAACCGCTTAACTTTTTCATAGTCTGTCCATGCCTAACGCTAGCTCCGATCGATAGCTGTTAGGGACGGTGTTCTCGTTGGAGACAAGGAACCATGGTGCGCGAAATACACCGCCTCAAGCTTGCAGGAAAGCACCTGTCACAGAATTACGCCCACCTGCGAATGCGCAGAAGAACATCCTTGGATTGGTGCAAGGTGCTGCAGCACGTATAGACCTAGAATATAAAACTCAACGGGGGCAGCCCTACAAGAGGACAGCGCCCGTCAAGAACAAAAGTGGCGAGACAGAGGAAATAGCTCTCTTCACCAACAAGGATTCTATCTTTGGAGAAGTAAGAGGGTATCGTCAACTTATGTCGGCTGTGTTCCGGCAGGCAATCTTCTCGGATAACAACCTTTCGCAGATCCGTGTGACGCCCTTGACGACCAAGAAGTTCGAACACCAAGGCATCCGTGTGCAGTTGGTTGGTCAAATTGAGCTCTTGTCCGAGCGTGGGTCTCCACACGACTTCGTGAACCTAGGTGTGTACGAGGGCCCAAACCAGGGGTTGAGAGGCACGTGCAAGCGAGACTCTTGAACGGCCTGAAGGCATAATGCCATGTGCTTAAGGCGAGACGGTATAAGCGGTGTATGCTACTCAAAGCATGGTGGGACAACGGAGGGACCAGAGTTTTCACTTCTGGCACGCCGCTCCTCCCATGCGACGCGGGAAGTGCTACGCTCCATACCCTAAAGGCGAACCCTCATGAAAACATATCCCCCTGCACAGCTGTTGTGCGCTTGACTTTGCATCCCCAACACCGATGGTGTTTGTGACACCCTGTCCTGCCAGTCCGGGAGCTAGCTCCCGGGGGCGAGCTGCAGGCCTCCAAAACCTTTCCCTTCGAGTTCCAGAATGTGGAGCTGCAGTACGACTCATACCGGGGTAGCCAAGTCCGGTGCAGGTGGGAAGGGTGTAGAGTCGCTGCACTGTGCAGTCCGGTATGGGGGTAAGGAGTCTCATTCCTGTCCTAGATTGTGCTGTAGTAAGGTTAGCCATGTGAAAGGCTGCTTTGCGAGGCCACGAGGGACCTGACGCACCTTGTCGCACTCTTGGCGTGCCATGGAGTGCGATGAAGCTGGATGGTAGGCCAGTGGTGAGTACGACCGTTTTGGACAGCTGGGAAAGGAGCGCTTTCCGCCGGCGTGCTCCTTCTCTAGTATGTTAAATGCACTAACATGACGGGTGAGGGGCAGCTGATACCGACGCTGCTCTGCTGTCATCTCAACTGGCCTTGCGCTTGGCGCAGCTACCACATTCTGCTCTCCTGAAGCTACCGATGCTTATAACTAAGCATCATAAGCATGCTTGCAACTGGCCCCGGGCAGGTACCTGCTGCGGGTGACGGTTGTGGGGAAAGGCATGACGCCAGACTCCAAACGTGACTTCCCTCTTTGGGTCAGGAACTACGAGAAGCTGCACGAGGCCACAGTGCCTATAAAGGTAGGAGGAGTGGGGATCAGGGCCGTGGGCCTGGGACGACCGGGGCAGGGCGGGGGGATGTAAGATTTAGGAAGGGGAGATGGGAACCCGGTGGGAAGAGGGAGGGCAGCGGCGCCTTGCACAAAGGAGGCGTAGGGTTTCCTTAAAGTAGCTAGGCTTGGAAAGGGGAGCGCTGGAACAGGATGCCTGCAGCCATTGAAACATGCCGTGTGCTGCCGCCGTAGAACTCCCAGCAAGTCAAACGGGGCAGGGACGTGGAGAGGGAGCGGGAAGAGGCTTCTGGGGCCAATGGCAAGGTACCTATGCGCGGTAGCCAGCCGTCGCCCATGCAGCGCAGTCGCTTTTTGGCGCCCTCCAAAGCGGATCAGTCCAATCCTCCAACGCTCGTGACAAGCAATGCTGCGTACCGCTCGTGTTCTTTCGCTGGATGAACCTTTTTGCCGACGCGCTACAACCCCTCCCACGTGCCGCCATCCCATTCAGTACCTTCCTCCCCCATGTGTAAAAAATGTGTTCCTCCGGGTACTCCCGTGTGTATTTTGCAGATGGAGGTGGGCATTGAGGACTGTCTGCACATTGAGTTCGAGTACGACAAAGCGAAATACCACTTGAGGGTGAGGACTGATACGGGGCGCCTGGCGCTGCTGTTTGTGGAGGACCGTCCTCGGTTCTCGGTTGCCGCTATTCCATCCCACCCGAGGCTTGATTTCTTGAACTCCATCTGCTGCACTGGCCCATGCAAACCTCACGCCCTCAGACGCTACCGTCCACATGCACCAGCCACTGCGTATGCACGTGAGTACGTTTTATTAAAGTGTAGATGCACGTTTATTAGCAAACCATTTGTTAACTTTAACTGAACGTCTATCGGCGTAATCCTGAACCCGACGCTGTGGTAGGAGATTGTCTTATGAAACTAGCTCTCTCACTTCTGTCCCCACGGCCAGGACGTGGTGGTAGGCAAGATCAACTTCCTGCTGGTGCGCATCAAGCTCAAGTACATGGAGATTGAGATCAAGCGAAAGGAGACCACCGGCTCCGGGAACTCCACACACAACGAGAACGACACAATTGCAAAGTAGGCAGAAGGAAGGGCGGCTTGTAGGTGGGCGTTGGATGGGGCGGGCCTGCGGGATGGACTGCCAGGCGGCGGGTTGTGTGCAGGGCAGCAGGCCCCCATCAGGGAAGTACGCGCTGCCGCTCCTCAACTGCTTCTTCACCAGCGACGCATGTCCTCAAAATTCTCCGTCTTACGCCCAAATTCACAAGGTGTGCTAAGAAGTTCGTGATTACAAATTCCGAGGCCTGCATATCAGGCGAGTCACCTGCTACATGTTGCCATCCTGACCTGCAGGTACGAGATCATGGACGGGGCGCCTGTTCGCAGCGAGAGCATACCGATCAGGTGCGAATGAAACGCAGCGAGATGCTCACATGTTTGCGAGAGGAAAAAGGAAGGAGAGGGGGCAGCGAGGCCACGGAAGGCTGTTCATGGCATCCGGAAGCATATACGGGGACAGTGGGTGAGCACGCGGGAGACAAACGCAAACGCACATACCATCGGTCATTTCCCTCTGTGCACTGTGTACCGTATGACTTCGTATGTCGTGCTGTCCGAAAATTAAATCCCATACTAACCGCCGATTGTTTAAATCCCCCACCTGAACTGCCAGATTGTACTTATCGCCCTTCGACTTGACGCCCACGTACCGAGAGGTACACAACAAGTAAGAGAGGTGTAGGCGGGTCAAGGGTGGGATCGGGATGTGCAAAGACGGTGGTCAGAGGTACAGGTTTAATATACTAACCGCAACGGCAGACAAGCAATTCCTGCTTTATCCTTGTATTATCGTCATGCTCACGTAAAACAACCCTGCTAGTGTTATGGGGCCGTCCTTCTGGACCTTTACAACACCACTCCACCTCCATTCGTCTCATGTTCACCATGCGACGTCTGCACCTGCAGACGTCGGACCCTTTCAAGTGCTGTCCCAGTCCACTCTTCACAAATTTCGTTCTTCGTTTTGAGGGACGAAAGATCGCTTTGTGTATATACACATATGTATGTCAGTTTCTCTTCAAAGCCGTGTTCTCCGTTCCCCGCAGGTTCAGCGTTCGCTACTTCCTAAACCTGGTACTGGTGGACGAGGAGGACCGTCGCTACTTCAAACAGCAGGAGATTGCCCTGTACCGGAAGGAGGATGGAGCTCCCGCTGGAGCGGGGACAGCCGCAGACAGCGCGGACCGAGGGCCGCTGTGAGGGGGCAGCGGTAACAGAAGAAGCAGCAGCTGGAAGGTTGGCAGATTTTGCGAGTATCCTGGTTGGGTTTGGAAAACTTAGTGACTTGGTAGTTTGGGGTTGGCAATGGCGGGATGAGGGTTGCTGTGTGTGGGGGGGGAAACGTGTGGTGTGGTGCCAGACGGGCAGCGATTGGCGGGTCACAGCGGGTGCAGTAGCCAGCCGGAGGGAGGGCAGAGCCGCTGCAGTAAACTATCCTCCCTATCCTCCCTTTTCATCGGCATTGCGGTGCGCAAGTCGACATGGGTTCTTGCAAGTTGATATCAGGTTGATTAAGCTGGTGTATCCTCGCCTGCCTGTTTGGGTGTTTTGTTTATAGCTTTGGCATCGAGCTAGCCAGGTGGGATGGATTGTGTTACAAAATGTTACAGAGCAGGATGTGGAAATAGGGCCCCGAGTCGCAGCTTTATACACACAGTCGCGCTGTTAGGGCCAATGCTATGTGGTTGTGGATGCGCAGCTTTATACACACAGTCGCGCTGTTAGGGCCAATGCTATGTGGTTGTGGATGCGCAGGTTATGAAAGCACAGCAGGGAAGATTACTATAAGGTAATAACTTCTATCGTAAGCATTCACTATTAATCGCATAGCTTCAATTTCAGTGGTACTGTAAATTATAACGGTACCACCGAAAGATGCGTTGTAATTCAGACGAGTCGCCCTGCGCCTGCCTAGAATCGGAAAAGACATTTGTCCAGAAAAGAGAGGTAACAGGAATCTCACCTCCCCGCCGGACATGCGCCTTCAGTTGTGGCCCAAGACTCACGGGTTGTGTGGATCAGAACCTAGCCCGCTAGAGCCGGTACGCTCTGCCTCGCACCCCAGCCCCGCCGCCTACACCGCCCATGGATCCTGACCCGCCGCTGCCACCGCCAGCCCCACCAGTAGGCACATCTCCCAGTAACGCAGCTAGCCGTGTGGCGCGCGCCTGGGCTGCCGCCGCGGCTCGCTTAATTCGCTCATACTCCTGTGCCGTGTCTTCCCTCACCATCTCCCGTACGGCATCGGCGGACTCGAGCCTTCCAGGGCCTTGCGTCTCCTCGGCCTCCATCTCTGCTTCTTCGGGGCTGACCGCCAGTGCTCGTTCCAAGGGTCCGCCCACGCCTGCAGGCTGAGCGGTACTGCCGCCAACTGTTGTACGACCTGCCGACCTCCCAGCGGCCGCCAGCCGCAAACGAGCGCCCGCCGCACCACCTGTCGAGTGACGGGGGCAATCCGATTAGTACCGCAAACCCATGGACACGATCAAATGATTTGAGAGACCGTCTATTCAGGTTCCTGCCCATTCCATCCGTCGGGGATGCCTTAGTGCGCCGTTCGTAAAACCCGGCAACAGGTCATAACACCCGGGGAAAACGAACCAGGCCATGAAACCGCGAGCCACTGCACAGCCCAGGAGGCCATAACGCGGAGCCAACCCCATTACCACTACTACGTCCACATTGCTGGGATGTAGTCCTGTTTAGTCGTCCTCATGTCCGCATCCCAACCTGCGGGACCACGTCGGATATCCCCTCAGGCTCCCTCCATGCAATATCCCAACCGCGCTTACGCAGGCCACCCCTACCCACTCCCTCTCCCCTCCCATACCCCTCAAGCTAGTCACCACTGCGTCCGCGACCGCCCACTGACCCGCGGAGATGAAGGCAGCCGCGCGCTTCTTCACGCCCCCAAGCAGTGCCGCCGCGCGCTGACCGCCGCTGCCGCCAATTCCAAAGCCGTTACCAAAGCCACCCGCGCCCGAGCCCCCGGCAGCCGCCGACGCACTCGCGGATTCCGTCACCGCCGACAGCGCGTTGCCGTCGGCCGTGTACGTGATGTCTGGATCCAAATCCTCCAGGGAGAGTCCCGCAGCTAGCAGCCCGCCAGGGCCCAAGCTCGCGTCACCGCCGCCGGCGCCGCCACCGCCCAGCAGAAGGTTCGCGGCAGCAGCTCCGCCGCCGCCACCACCACCGCCCCGGAGCTCCTGCCCAGAGTTCAAACCCAATGATGGCCGCATAAGGATGGCGGGGTGTGCGGGCCCAACTTCGGGTAAGTGCCCATGGCTCCGGAGCCAAGGGAAAGAGTTTTGCCTACCGATACGCGCAGTGACGACGCAGCCACATGACCGTCATGGCGAAATATTAGCCATGAAGGACCTCTCGGCAATCCAAGGGGTTCCCCATGGAGAGTCAGGAAAACGTCGTCGCACCCGCCCTCCGCATTTGTGTCTGTGCGCGACGTATGTGTGTATGTATGTGTGTATATGTTCCATGCACCGCCCAGCTCCGTCATCTTGACGGGGATCGTCATCTTGACGGGGAGGGCCAGCTCACAAGGGCCCGCCTTTTCTCTCCTTCCCCCTATTTCTCCCCTCGCCCTCGTCGCTCTAATGGTTCTCCCCCCCCATAAGGCCCACCTTGAGCTTGCTAGCCTGGATGCCGGCGACGCTCTTGATGACTGACCGAATCACGTCCCACTTGTACCTGCAAGTGCACCCCACCACCGCCACCACCACCACCACCGAGACCGAGGCAAAAAAACAAAGCGCGATCGCGTTAGGCCGCGCAATTTGGACTATGACCGACTCTTGCATAACTCCGCATTCTCAGCAGCGAGGCACTGCCCTCCAGGAGGCCATGCGCCGCCAACGCGATCCTGCGCACTGCGCACTGCGCACGGCAAGTGGAAAAGGTGCGTGCGCGCCACTACCCCCTTCTACACACACACACACACACACACACACACACACACAGACACACAGACACACAGACACAGACACAGACACAGACACAGACACACAGACACGAAAGCAACGCACGCAACCGCGCTAGGCCGCATGCAGACGCCCTGCGTCCAGGTGCGACATTGCGTTGTGCATTCTGAACCCCACGCCCGCACGTACCGGCACACGCAACTATGCTGTTGGATCCCCACCCACTTTGCGAGAATGTCCCTCCAGCCGCCCACAATGTTCCGATAGACTCGTGCGTCGATGACCAGTCCCCATCCCCCCGCGCTGCCGATGGACAGCCGCGGCCCGGTGTAGGTCAGACGGGCGGCCATGCGGTTGAAGCGCACGTGGCGGAAGCGCAGTCGGCGAGGAGCCCGACCGCGGCCGCCGCTGCCGCCGCCGCCTCCGCCCTGCGAACCGGATGATGCGCCGCCGCCACCACCGTCGCCGCCGGAGGCTGCTGCCTGTGACGACAGGAAACGGGAACGTCGGCAATTAGCTCACAAGAAGGGAAGAACCCAACCCTCCATTGGACGGGTCACAGCATCCAACTATAAAACCGCAGGCCAAACACCCCCCCTGTTCCGCCTATGATCAACCATAATCCAGCTATTTGAATGAACAACATAATCCAGCTATTTGAACGAACAACATAATCCAGCTATTTGAATGAACAAGCCTAGAGGCGATGATTTCTTGAAAGTTGGCATGGGAGGACGTGAAATTGACTCTGAACGGACTCTGACAGGCGCAGGATAAAGCGCTACACAGCAGGGCAACCAGTTTTAGCTACTACTAGCGGTAAACCACAAAGTAGTCCTGCTATTAATCCTGTGGCATTTGTTAGAGAAGAAATAACTAATAAACAGACTCAAATTCTGAAGGAAGCTGTAGCAATGCTTCACACAGCCGCTGCATGTGGGCTACGCCCCGCCCACATCCCCTGAAGCACCCACCCACCCACCCACCCGCCCGCCTCGCCCTGTCGACGGCGTGACCTGCTGCGCCGCCACCTCGCCGGACAGCGGCGCCATCGGCACCAGCGTGCCCGACACGTCCACCAATATCGTCGCGCGACCGTCCCTGCGGCGACGGTACGTCGGGCCGTACCGTACGGCAACGGTCGTGGAGGCGGGGAAGGCAGCCGCCACGGCCGCGCCGTCAGTCGCCGGCAGCGCAGCCGCGGTCGGTATGGCAGCCGCCGCCGCCGCCGCCGTGGGGGCGACAGCAGCGCTGCTGTGCTCGTCTGTGACGGCGGACGATACACGGCTGTGACGGCCCTGGGTGCCTAACCCCAAAGCCGGCTCCCTGCCAGCTGCCGATGCCGCAGCGGAAGGTGTCGGCGCCCCTACTGCACCGCTGAAGCCTGAGCCGTAGGCGTCGGAATGTACGCTCGACCAGGGGGGGGCCTGACCCCGTTGCGGCGACGCCGCCACAGCTGTAACGGCTGCACCTGAGGCAGCGATAAGGTCAGCTGACGCCGTCTGAGCCCCACCGTGCTGGTGCTGCTGCCGAGCATCTGTTTCGTTTGGTTGTTTTTCGGGGGGGGGAGGGGCCGGGAATGAAGGGCGCTTCATCACGTTGAAATCAGCTTCACGGCTCTCTCTCCCTGTCTATGAGGCAGTCGAATGAGCTAGCCTTGGCATTACAACGGAATCCAAAGCGATGTTGGACGGAAGTTACATTCAATACAGTGTAAAAGTGGCATCAGTCCAGGGCCCAGGAAACCGAACGCGAGTGCATGTTAGACAGGCAGGCAGGCAGCGGTATCGAGATGGTGTCAGGCAGATATCATCACTACGGAACAGCAAAAAGGTGGGGGGGGAGCAGTGCGGTGCACAATTCATGTTAACCTGGTGTTTAAACCCACCATCACCATCACCATCACACCACATCACATCACATCAAACCGACAGTGGAACGTGTGCTCTGGTGTCCTGACGACATACGCGCCTGGCGCCCTTACGCGCCCTTCCCCCGACCGGTACGAAAATGTATCTTCTGCACTACCAGTATTCCGGAGCTGTCCATGATGTCATTCCGGAGCGGTTCATTTTGTGCACATCTCCCACACACCCCAAATCCGGGCGGAGATGACACACAAGCACAGAAACCCATATGCGCAAGTCCTCTTGTTGATACGACCGCATTAATGGACCCAAACGCCCACCCGCACAACGGAATGACAGCTCCTGTTGCTCAAAAGTCGCACCTGTCATCATCATCGCTGTCGCGCTCCGAAGCCCCGCCGGATCCAACGGAGCTGCCGCCGCTCCCGCCGCTGCCGTTGCCAGGACCCCGCCCACACCAAGGGCAACTGCGGATGCCGCCGCTGCCGCTGCCGCCGTCTCAGGCAGCGTCGTAGCGCTGCGGCGACTGAACCACCCGCCGCCCCCGCCGCCGCCCCCGCGTGCCGTCTTGGCTGGTGACGCGTACGTGCTGCCGCCGCCACCGCCTCCACCGCCACCAGCGGCACCACCGCCACCCACCGCTCCTGACTCAGGTCCTTTGGCGGCTCCACTGCCCTTAGACTGCTCGGGGTACAAGAGGGGGCGGGCACGTCAATATCTCAGTCAAAATGCACACCGACAGTGACGGGGGGGAAGGGGTTACGACGAAGCGGCAGGGAATTCATAAAACCCCCGAAAGCATGAGGCATGGCTCTACGAAAGCGGGGCCCCCATGTGAACGGGCCGTTTAGTCACACATACATACATACGTACATACACACACAAGCGTGTCCCACACAAGCCATCCCCTACCCTTCCTCCAACCCTGCCCGGCTCACGACCCCACACTCCCCACTATGCCCAAGGATGTCTAGCTGTCGCGGCACCCCCCACCCCGGCCCCCTCCCTCACCCCCCTCACCCCCCTCACCCCCCTCAACCCCCTCAACCCCCTCACCCCCCTCACC